CCCCAAAACCCCAAAACCCCAAAACCCCTTTTCAATATTTATGTATTGATTATTAATAAAATTGAATATGAACGAGGAAAAGGTCCAGAAATGATCAAAAATGACTAAAAAGCTCTATCTGTTAGAGAACATTAGCCGTTCAGCCGAGGTTCTGAGGAAACGGATATAAGCTACTCAGTGCTAGACCGGTCGTATACAAAAAGCCGCAAGGTTAGGAAGAAGAAACCTAAGGTCGTGATTAAAGCTCCTAGTGGAAAAGAATCCGAACAAGGGGATGAGATCGATAATAAATTAGCTAAAGAGAAAGTTATGGTCCCTGAAGTTACTTTTAAGAGGAAGAAGTCTCACCAGGGGTAAATAAATTCAATAAGAGAATAACCAAAAATTTGGATACCAAGCTCTCTTCGAGAGGCCAAAATTATAATCCTGTAGTAGAGAAATCAGCCGATGCTTCAAGTAGTCATTTCTATCTTGAAGACCCTTGTATAAAATAAAAGAGAAGAGTGAGTTTAGCCTAATCTTTAGAAGCCTCGAACAAATTGATAGTAGCCGATCCTCTGAGTCTAAGGAAGTCACTTTGAGGAGCATATTTAAAAGCACTTGTAATATGAAATTTAATAACTATACCAAACATAGTAGTTCTAAGCTTTCCAGTTACCAGAGGAAAGGATCGATAATGTCTGAAGCTAAAAATCCTCCAGAGGGTTCCAAACTCGGTATTTCCCATCTGTAACACAGTAGAGCAAAACCTAGCAGATTTTCGGCTAAATAAAGCCAAATTCTTGGGAAATGACTCTTCCGATAAAGATCTTGAAGGTTCGTTAGAATTTAATACTAATCAGATTATTTTCCAGACTGCTAATGGACGACGTGTGCGAAACAAACAATTAGAATTAGGCTGTAATAGGAACATGAATATGTCAGTGGAGCTATACAAAGACCTAAATGGTCATACTCCTTCTGAAAGTTGTCCTTATCAGCCTTTTTACAGCCCAAAAGGGTTTAACAAGCAAACCAAGAAGTGGCTCAGGAAGGGGAAGATTTATGAAAGCAAGCAGCAGAAGAATTTGTTGAAACAGAATATTGAAGGTGGAGAATACAGAGAAAAATGTTTAGGCGTTCTTGGTACAAAGTTGACCATTGGTAAGCAATCCATTCATCTTTAGCTGACAATAAGTATCGTGCGAATTCGAGATTTATGAAAAGTCAGGAAGAAAATTCCTTAAAATTTACAAAACAGAAGGACTGAAAGGCTAGCAAAGATTTTGTGGGTAGCTTAAAGCCTAGGAAAAAGAGCCTGCTGGTATATTTTGGTCTAATGATTCCTAGCCACAAATAAAGTCATCGATCAAAAATCTCAACTTTAGTGCTGATATTAGTTTGAATAATGAAAACAAGATGGTTCCTTATTCAAAGAAGTCATTTCAATCAAAGCTTCGGATGCCGAATAAGTCCAAGAACCGAAGGATGTATAGTATTAATGACTACGAGCCCAAGGATCAACAGAACTGTAGGCATTATTCTCGGAATCGTTTTTCCCATATGAACCGTAAAGCATTCTCCTTCTCACCAATTTTCTAGGCTTCTAACCCAGAATGGCAAGTATAACCCCGTAATCTAATTATCCTGAAGCCCTGCTAATCACCTACAGTGCTTCAGCTAAATCTGGGGGTCTAAAAATGTTGCTAAAAGTACAAATTAATTTATACGAAATAAATTACAAAATCGTTCTGCACTTTTCAAAAATTTTCAGTTATGTTTAGCCAAGCCTGGCTTCTACAGCCTTCAAAATTACTTTTGTGTCTGTATAAACCCTATCTTCACGATCTGGGAGCGTCAAGGTCTGTTTAGGCCTCTGGAGGTATCCTCAGCCTCGTCAGAGCCTACCATTTCAGAGTCATTCCCCTCATCAGCTGTGTTTAGACTAGGTTTGAGTAATATTTCAGGGTTTTCCAGGACCAACACGTTTTCTCTGTAATCTTCCTGGGACTTTCTGCTGAAAGAGAGGTCATTTCTGGCTTCTTGGGGTTTGTGACTAACGCACCATTGCTTCAGATTGTGATGCCAGGTTTGGTTCATGTCGCTTATGAAATCCTGGAAGGCTTTTAAGTATTTTGAAGTGGGCTTTCAGTAAGCAGCTCGGCTGTTTTTGTTTGGCTTGATACGGAAACCTCTGCCTCTGGTAGGGAGGCTGAAGAGCTGGTGTAAGCGGGAGATTAGAGGAGCGGGGAGGGTCCTTTTGATGGGTTTTGTGGGTGTGGTTTTCGGAGATTTTGACTTTTTGGGCGATTTGGGCTTTTTAGGAATGGATTTGGGGGTTTCTGGCTTTTTAGGAACGGTTTTGGGCGATTTCGGCTCTTGAGAAAGTGATTTTGGTTGGGGTTTTAGATCGGCTATAGAAGGTTAGATGAGAGTTTTGAGGATATATTGGACAATTTTAAGAGGTCAGAGGTTTAGATAAAAGTTTTTAGGAGAGCCTAATTTTCATCAATAAAATATGTTTTTCTGCTGAAATTGTCAACTAAATTCGGTATTTGAAAGGAAATGAATTTTAATATATCTTCATACAATTCAAAAAACAAATTTTAAAACCACACACATCAAATCTAACCATCAATTTCAAAATTCCAAAATCCTCCACTAAAACCCCCCAAACCTATAAAATACAACAATCCTAATTCCCTCACTCAAAAACATCCCCTCACTTCTACCTCTACCCCTAATATCCCCCACTAAGGCCCTAAAACTACTACTATTATCTCTAACCCCTCACTATTCCTACCTCTTACACCCAAACACCATGCTCCCAAAACCCTTCTCTTCCACTTCACGTATAAATTCCCTCACTGGGGGTCAATCACTTTAAAAAATTTCACAGTGAGATTTCAGATTTCTTGATGGCCAAAATCTCTACTGGAGTTGAGTATGAAATTGGAAATTTGCTTGGTTATTGACCCTGGTTTAGATGAAGTTGTGTGGGACGGGTCAGTAGAGATCTGACTGGGGAGGGGTTAAGGAGGAGGTCTTGGGAGATAGAGGGATAGGAGGGACGTAGGCTTAGAGAAGGGAGATTTTGAGGGGTGAGGAGAACGTTTTGGGACTGTACCTTGATTTTGAGAAGAAACTTCAGACTTACAGCTAAATGTATCACTAAGTTCAGACGGAACGGGGTTTGCTTTCTCGTTGGGGGAGGAATCTGACATCATTGTTTTTTCAACCATTTCTAGTAGCTCTTTCTTAAGGTTTTTGGGAAGCATTGAAGGGCAGTCCATTATTTTAATAATGTTTATTATTTTTAAATATAATCTTGCTTATTTGGGGTTTTGGGGTTTTGGGGTTTTGGGGTTTTGGGG